TGAGTTATTTTACAGTGTTACTAGTTATAGTACCATAGAAGCATCTTACGCCTCTACTGGTTTGGCAATTCAGCAATATTAATGCCTCTAGCTAAAATGAAAATCATCAAAAAGAAAGGAAAAGGGAGACTATTCAGTTTGGAAGATTGTAGTGCTTTGCTGTATGCATAGATATAATAACTCTATATAGGTGATGACAGACAGTCTCATTCTCTTCCCCTGTCAGAGCTTTGTTCCACTATTTAGTACACAAGATATTATCTTCCTATTAGAGACTTTTCTCCAGATTTCTTTTATCACTCCCTCTCATCCCTCTGCCCTCAGCAACTCACTACCTTTTCTGTCCAGGGAAGATCAAGAAGCCTCTCTGTGGTTCAGAGCTCTTCATCACAAGAGTCTATAACAAACCACAGCTACATAAGTCTAGTCTTTACAAAAATCCTCAAATCTGCTACTGCTTTAATCTTATCTAAAGAAAGCCTCTCAGAAAAAACACTGCTCCTTTCAGCTGCCTTCTCCTATTAAGGGTCTATAACATCTCTTATCCACTCATAGAAGGTGCAACTCTCTGCACTTAATTTATTGGGAAGAATCTAGGCTTTGACCAGAGATGAGATCTGAAAGTCAGAAAGGACTTTCTGTCAGTCTTTTGCTATAAAGATATACAGTATTTTGAGATGTGAAATTCTTAGTCTGATTTGGATGTGTCTACATCTGTGTTCTTTGGCAAGTTAGTGTGCTTCTTACCTCCTTTTTCTCTATCTTTAAAAACAATAATACACATACAAATTATTAATGCTCATCAGTGATTATTTAATTATAGGATAGGTCTGAACCTACATAGTTTGCTCTAAATCCACTGCCTTCGATATCTATTGCAAATTTCAATCAAAATTTCAATCAAATTTCAATCAAAAAAGAGAAAGGAAGAAAGATCCTCCAGGTTTTTGATTAGAAGCTCATCTTTACAAACCATGTGGCATAGTCATAATGGTGGCAAAAGACTCAAACACTTTTTGAATGAAGAAAATTAACTTTGAAAGTTTTTACTGTAATGTTAAAACCAATCTTTTCTTATAAATAGAGACTAATTTGTTAATTTTATGCTTCTTATAGCAAAAAAAAGACATAATCACTCTGCTTTTGGGGGTTAACAGAACCCTTGTGACTACTTGTAACCATGGAAATATAAAGAGCTAGTCAGAGCCCAACATCAAACTAACAGAGGTGCTGAGAGACAGAAAATAGATATATGATGAATTTACTACACATGAAAGCTAGCTGTATCTCTACCAACTGCATTAACAACATAGAAAGCAAAGTCCACAAAGCCTTTTGAATGCTTAAAAGCATATAGCATTTACCATGGCTTCTCACTGAAAATAAAGGGAAATGCCTTTAAAGGTTTGTTTTTAAAGCACTGAGTGCATCTGAACTGGTTTAAAAGCAAAGACAAAATTAGGTAAAAATGGTTACTATGTGAATAGGAACAGTAATGAAAAGACTACAAAAGGCCCGGTTGAAGAAGAAGGGTTTTCTCAGACTAAGATGGTAGTTATGAAGATTATGCAACCAGTGGCTAGTGACATCTGAGGTAGCCTGTGCAAAGCATCATCAGGAATGTTCATCATCTGTAGAAAGCCCCAGATTTAACAGACATGGAAACACTCTCAACACAAGCAATCACTCAGCTGATGTTTTACTGACCAAACTAACTATCTGCCTTATAATAATAAGGCATGTACATATTTAACTGCCTTCTCTGTGACAGGCCAAACCCACAAAACATTGCTTAACCAACCGCAATTACAACCCTTAAACACAATCGTCCTCAAAGAGAGCCACCTTTGGAGAAAAGGAAAACATATATTCCTTGATGTAATAAGCAGGCTATGATTAACAGAAGTAATCTTCTCAGTAATACATATCAAAAAATTCCATTTACTTGGAAAATAAAATGATGCATATACACAGCAAAAAAATACAACATATATGCACGTTACTTACATTACACAGGTGTGCAATGACTCAGAAGAGCCAAAACATGTCAGCATGATCAAACATCTCTCTCACTCTTACAGCATTAGCTTCATTAGACCTCCTTCTTTGCCTTTCTTCTTTTCTTCAGCCCAGTGATAACTACAGAATCAGAACTCTTTCAGTTCCCCTCCTGGCTTCAGGAAGGCCAAGCTCACCCCCAAGCCAGCAGTATCTCTGAGGCACAGTAATTTGTATGCTCAGATGATCCAAATCACAATACCACACTTCCTAAAATAAGATCAGCACAGACTTGCATATAAGCTTTAAAACAGTGCAGTGAAAGCATACAGATCCACAAGGCTTAACATCGTTAAGGAAAACCTGGTTTGCCCTTTCTTTTCTGTAGGTCCACAGGATTCTATATAGCATGTAAGATATGTCAACTTTACTTTCCCAGGGACAAGAAAAGAATGATAGATTAATTCTGCATACTTCTATGATACACATAATTTTCTCATCCTCTTTGTCCGTTTGTCTATCTGTTTTCTATGGAAGCAAAGCACAGACTCTTAGGTCATAAATACATTGCAGATTTCTGTCAGTATGACTGTACTGACCAGCACTGTAAATAGTTGTAAATCATTTAAATACAATTCTACTGGTAGTTGTACTTGCAAAAAAAAAAAAAAAATATTACTTAGACAAGATGCTGAGAATCGCAGACACTGAGTTATAACTCAACACATGATTAAGACTAATTGTACGCCAAAAATAAAGAGATCTTCTGGGCCTGTGTTAGCTGAATGAAATACACATTCACTGTTTCTCACATGTACGATCTGCTGTTACACCATACTACCATCTGTTTTCCCCATTTACCACAATTGTTTCTCATATCTTCAGAAAATTTTATATTTAGGATCAGGTTAATGCCATGAAAAATGAAGATGCTGTCTGGATAATGTCTTCTTGCAATTTTTTTGTCATCTTATTTGAATCTTCAGTTTCAGAGGTACTTTGCATACCTTTGCAGATATGCTCAGGTAAGGGTACATTAATTACAATAATTATTTCAAATTTCATTATTATGCCTATGGAAATCTACAAATCCTATACTTAAATTGTAACATTTTAACCAGGATGAAATTTGAAGAAATCCCATTGTTGCATTCTTGAAATGAATTATACAGATAAAATAATATGCATACAGGGCTTTCAATAAAATAGCAGTTTCCAAGTGCCTACTTTTCTTTTTAAATGGGAACAGGTTCCTATGCTGCTTAAACACTTTCAAAAATATTACCTATTTTGCTGGTACAGTATCTGGTGTACTAAAACCAACTCCTAATGAGAGTTACTACTGTACTATACTAATTACTGCAATACCAGTAATGTATTAGAAATATGACACAAAAAAATACAGTTTCTTACAAAATACAAGTGGATTCCATGGGGTTACATGAGATGTAACTTATAGCAGAATTCATTTCTAGTGTTCCAAGAGAATCTTGGCTGCACTTCATACTTCCATTTTCTGTTTGATGAATTGGTTTTTTTGAGTTGTATTTGGGAACTCACTAATTCAATATTCATGAGAAATACCAAATACAATAGGTAGAAATGTTTGAACAGAGGCCAAGTAATCGTAGTCTGTTTTCCATTAGTAGCAAAACGATCACATTAGCTAATTAATATAATTACTGATTATCTTACATTCTGATTTGTGGCTTTTTAGCCTTTTATCCTCTGAACCTCAAGCTAGTATCTAACATCATAAACAAAAAGACAACATGAAAAAAGAATTAGGTGTACCACAACAGAACACTGGTAAAAAAAGTATGATGATGATTTGTATTTTCATCTTGTGTTTCAGCGGAGAATCTTGAGAGACTTTAAAAGTATTAAAAAGGATGTTTTCAAGCAATACCCGAAGTGAAGTAATACTATCCCCATAAAAGGTCAGAGATGCAGATTCAGAAATGGTTAAGTAAATAATTCACTTTGGAAAGAAAAGATTTGGTCTGAAGTAACTTCATGAATTTGCAGATCTCTTCTTCTGTGTCCTAGGCATGAGACAGCCCTATAACTTTTAGCATGGGTAGCGAATATTTGTTTACTAAATAGTTATGTACTACTAAAATACAAAAGGATCCTAATTGTGCATTGATGAGCTAGGAACACTGGCAATCTTACAGCTCTTTTTGTGGACTGCATTTCATTACTCACTAATAACTTGATCCGCATACTTATATATACTGTCTTTGGCTTGAACAACAGCTTTACTTCCAGTTCCCAATACAACACATAAAAACCTGAAAGAAACACACAAGAACATTTCCTTCTTTCTCCAAAGACCAAATCCAAAGATCATTTAGGTGAGTCTTTCAATTGACTTAACGATATGTAGATTAGATTTCTAAAAACACTCAATTCATTATTTCAGCAAAGCGTATGCTGTAAAGAATATATTTATTTATCCACCTTTACTAATCCTTTCATGCTTGGCATTTATACATGCAGTATATCTTCTATTTTTTTTTCATAGATTTTGTAGTCATGTAACCAACAGCTGATATTAAACCATAAACAATAATTGTAATAAACCATAAAAAATACATTAGAAAACAGTCATTAAAATCTGGACTAAAAGGAGCCTGATGAAACTGTACTTTCAGTGGTTATATTTAAGTATAATAGGGACAATATAGGTCTTATTTATGACAGGCTTAGCATTTTCCAAGACAAAATTAAAAGAATTATGTAGTAATAGCTGTACACCACTTTATGTCATCAACATACTTATGTATGACACAACATAAGGATTATGCGAGCAAACCCAAGGAAAGTCAAAATAATTGTCTACCTCAAGCTGTTATTTCCAACTTGAAGTTTGAATTAATTAAAAGATCAAATCTAAAACAACAGTAGAAAATCACATACCTAAAAGAATTATTCTCCTAAAAAGTCAAAGATTTTTATAATTTCTTTTCATAGAAGTAAAAGAGCTCTAGGTATCATACCAACTTGGATACAGAGACAGGCTCCACTTGGTTCAGATTTCTGACTGAGACAGCCTGAAGGATGAGCATGTGAAGAACCACACAGTAGGATTTTATTTTGTTGTTGTTGCGAGCTTGTCTGTCATTAAATTGTTAAGCCTCCTCTGTAACCTCGTGCATTGCTTCTCAGTCCATACATTGATCCATAGGACACCTGAAGATGATATAAACCTTTTAAATAAATATAGACAACTTTCCACACATCCAAGCAAGCAAAGAAATGGTGGGGGAAATAAACACAGTAAATGAATATGTATCTTAAATTTCATTAGCTTTATGTGGAAATTATTGAAGTAATACTGAACAAGAATTGCAACTCACCACTGGCATTTTTTTATTAAAAAAAGGCAGTTTTTTGTTTGTTTATTATAATGTGTTGATTAACATATCCTTGAGAAATCTGTAGCACTCAGAGAAAGACATAACCATCTGCTTAGACTCTACCACCTGCACTGCCCTGGGCCTGAGAGGCAGCCTCCCAGACCCTTATTTATTTGGCAACAATGAACATTTTAGTCATGCTCCCTCCACTCACTCTGACTGACTCCATGTTCAAGCTGCATTATCATACTTCTAAGAAACTTCAACAGGACTGACTTAAGAACAGTATGAATATTATCCAGTCTAGTGCTCTTATTCCCTTCTTTGCTTGTCTCTGAACACACGTTCATGGATGAGTGGATAGGTCTCTGCTATGTCTAGATGAATACCAGGCCACTTCCATGCTCTTTCTGATACCACAGTGTTGAAGAACATCTTTTTGCTCTTTGTGCCGTCTGAGAACTCACATTTATTCAGAAGTTAAAATAAAAAATAATTGCTAACAAAGAATAGAAAAATAATTTACATTAGTAGAAGTCATTCTATAAAGGCCCTAATTTCCAGGTTTGTGGCCACATATGGAAATAAAAACATCAGATGAATATCAAAAAAGTGCAATATACGATAATAGTTAAAACTTATGCCACTCCCTCTGACACGTGCATAATTAATAATCAGATTTCTGAAGTCACTGAGGTGGGAGTGGAGAGGGTGGGACCTGTATCAGATGTGGTAGCTTTGCTTCAAATACAAATTTACTGCAATGCAGTAAGGTCAAGATTCAAAGCAACCTTCATTTCATGAGACTTACAGACTCAGAAGCACACACTACACACAGTAAAAGGCAAGCAGGAACTCTGGGCTCCCTCTTCAAGATCAGTCAGTTCAGACTGTTCTGGGGCAGCAGTTGTTTGGGCAACTGCAGGAGAAACAAGTGGCTGATGCAAGTCCAGCATGAAAATGGAGCTGAATGACTCTGTGAACACAGTATGAGTCATATGATGCCAAACTTCCTCACTACCAGTAATGGTGAAGAAGTAGAGATTAAAGTCCCCCTGTTTTCCTTCATTAAATCTGTTCCATTAAAACCCCAGAGATTGTAGCAACAGTCCCAGTGAGAAACCATTTTAGCGTGACATTGGTGCTTAAGATTCAAACAACCAAGGTCAGCTAAACATACAAAACACAATGGATGCCAGTTCACTCGTGTGAAATGAAATGTGCAAAGAAAAGTAGCTTTCTACCTTTCATAGCCAAGTTTTGCTGCTGAGAAAAGTGTCAAATTACCTTTACAGCACCTGAATTCATCAGTGTGACATTCTGGTACCTCCCAGCTTCAGTTCCCACTCTTCACCTACTCCAGTGCAATAGCTCCTGAGCATCCAAGTCAGGCAACTACAGCTCAAGGGCTGTGGGGCCCAGGGCTGGTCTATGAAGATGTGGGAAGACAGGGAAAAGCATTGCAAGCTGGCTGGACAAGTAGCTCCACTTCATACAAGGGTCCAATGCATGCCATACCTCAACAGTGCCCATATTTTGTTCTTTCTGCTTATCAGTCTTTCTCCAAAACATCTTCAGGTGACTATAGGTTCTGTCACAACTATTTTGTCATTAGTTTAGAGCTGATGGATTTAAAATCCACCAAGATGGAAAAGACTTTCCTCTTTGCATGAATGGATAGATGAAGACCTAGGACTTGATGGCAATAGGAAAATTACTTGATAATCGGCTAGGTTTTGGAATTAGGTTGCAACTTGGCATCCATTTCATACTTATGCAATGTAAATATTTCCATGTGAATCTAAATCATGTATGTAGCTTGTCTTTATATATAATTAATTAACACATACTGTCTTTTCTGTTATTTGTGCTAGTCGCTGGATCTTATCCCCAACATATGTTACTATGGATTCCTTTTTGTTGCCTTTTTCAGTCACTGAAATGGCACATCCATTTTATGGCATATGCTGTATATATATATTTTGATTACATCACAGCAAAACATTACTGTCAACTTTAATGCTGTTGGTATACTGACCTTTTTTAAAACATGAAATGGACAGAAAATGTACATGGGAAAAGACAGCATGCTAGGATGGAATATGAGTGACTGAGCACAACTACAAGAATAGATTTTACAGGATTATGTTAAATATCCTTTAGATTGTAAAGATGTCAGCTAGCGTAAAACTCTAATGTACCAGCTGCTGTCCAAATAGATCATAAAATGAAAGCCCCCATGATGAGCAGGGCTTAAAATAGAGCAGCTGATGAGTAAGATGGTAACTCTTATATAAACTTCACATTTAATGCACTAAGACTTTTCATTGTCAAATATTCCTGGGGTTGCCATTTTCCATGAAAAACCTGCAGCGGAACAGCTTTAAAATGCAGTTATTATTTTCATGCCACACAGAAACTCCCTTCTAGTCTGCTTTGTGATTCATGTGTTTGGCTGAATAACTTTCCTGGAACTCAGAACAAGAGGGAAACCTTCCCTAAGTACTTCCGGTCTTTCTACATGTACTAGTAACAAGACAGAGTCCTCCCACCTTTCCCATTTGCAGTATGCCAGGCACACCTACTGCTTGATACACCCTTAAACCTCAGAAATAGTCTGCTTTTGCTCCGTTTTAAAAACAGCATGCATTTTCTCTGGCAACAAAAACATTGTTTGTCTAACATTAATATGTATCAAAGCAATATTAATAGACTACTTAACTAATTGTCTGTAGCTAATGGAGAAATCATAGCTCACTGTGAACATAAAAGATGCGTAGCTCTTTCTCTTTAAAAGATGGTTGCCATCTACAGCTCATCACAACTTTGAAAGCGTGTTAGCTTAAAAAACTGTCAGGAGTACAGAAACATGTAATCTTGAGAGGAAGTACAAACTATGTCATGTGCTTAATCTCAGAGGCCTTACTCCAAGTGCCTAATGGAATCAATATGAAATCAATGCCAAATTTTGATTGTATAAGAATTAAGTTAAAACTTCAGAATAAGGTCCAGTATATTTACAGGATGAAACGCCAGAAAAAAAAACAGTCCCACTGTCATACTGCAGCCTGTCAATCTGGAAACCCTAAAGCAATGGATTCAAATTACACCATCCTCTAGTAAGACCATGGATTGTTAAACTTTTATTAGAGTGATCAGCACTAAATGAAAATACAATCAAGCTCCTAGTTTTTAAATATTTCATAGCTTCTTTTCAGAAAGTGTCCTAAGAATCATGTTTTCCTTGTAATTGGAAAATAAATAAAAAGTTTTGTGTAACTGATACAAAAAAATAACCAGAGGTGCTGCGTAGCTTACCAAACTCTTTAGAAGGCTGCCAGTGAGGTACTCCAGTTCTAATTGCAGCTTTGCATCTGATTTACTATGTAGGTGTAACCCTGGCCAACTCATTTAATCTCCAGGCCTGTTTTTCCAATCTGTAAAAAGGGGGATATTACTCTTATTTAATTAATGCAGTCTGTGGCTGTTAATTACTTTAAAAAAATTACACTTCAAATATTTAAATTACATTTACAATTCCAGCTATCCCTATCTTTTTGACCAATTCTGCTTCTTGGTTATCCCTTAAAACAAGGAAATCAAGGCTACTTCAAAAGATTTCTCTGTTCATTACCAAAAGGAAAAGTCTTCTTGTTGCTTTTTTTCCTGATTCTTACCCTCATTTCAAGTCAAAGCTGCATACGTAGTGCCTTGCACCAGCTATTCTGTGAAATTTAGCTTATAAATTTGACAGATTTTGCTATTCTTAAATGGAGTGTTATTCCAATAATAAATTTAGCTTTACCCTACCATGTTGAAGTGTTGTTGCTCTCCTGAAATGCAGCAATCAATGCCTAACAGATCTTTTTTTCAATGTTCTAAGAGAAAGAGTATCTTTCTCATACCACTGCTGAAGTGAAGCTGCCACAGCTCTTATAAGGATGCAAGACAGATAAGAAAAAAAGTAAATCTATAGAAGCTATAGCTTTCCTTGCTAGTAAAAAACAGATTAGTCCTATTCCAAGATGCAGTTGCCAATGGACCATACAAAATTGTAACATCCCCCTACCAGGAAAAGGCAGTAAAACTGTATCCTGAATCTTAGTGTCCTCAATAAATCTTGAAGAAAGGCAGCCAGCAATTTCAAGAGTGTCTTTGGTGTAATTTCTCCTTAACTCTATGTTTATACATGATGCATTAAAAAAAGGAAGTAATATGCTATTGAATCAAAATTACTCCAAGAATGGTTACAGGTTTTTTTATCAACTAAAATGGTACAGAAAACTTAGTAAACATTTTAATAAAATTTTAGAAAAATGCAAAAAAAGAAGGAAGACAAGCCCCTAATGGAAAAAATGTTATTTAAAAAGGCTGTAGCCTTCACGATTTTAAATTTAAGCTATTTTATTCACTAACATTTTATTAGCATATTTAAAATTTACCATCTCTCCCTGAAGTTCAGACTTCCAGACTCTGAAAACCTAAGTAAATTCCATATATTTTTAATGAAGTAAAAACTCTGAAAGTGCTTTGACCTCCATTCAGTTTGAAACCAGATGAAGGTAGAAATTCTTTCTGCTGAGCCTTCCATAAAGACTGAAAAAATATTGCAGAGAAGTACTTAGAATTTCTTAACTCTCTGTCTTTAGCCTCATTTTCCTCATTAGATTCTTCTTCCTGCTCTTGTTATCCTGCCAGATATCGGATTGCCAGCTCTTGTGAGTTCCTATTGAGTCTCAGAATATTAATTGGTGTTCTTAGAGACCACACAGCTGAAATCAATGGATTGTATAAGAATCTTCTTTTGTCTGACACAAGCTTCTAGCCCTTGAAATTATGACAAAGGTTGGGAGGATGAAGAATGGATTTTAAAAAGTTCAGAAGGAAGCAGGAACATGAAAAAGTCAGTATTCATTGCTTTATATTTATGATTTTTAATGCTCAAATTTGGAAGTATTGTGGGAGGACATACACTGTTTAGAGTAACAAGTGTTTATACAAACAAAAGCAGAAAAAACCAATATTCCCGTAAGTGTTGTAATAACTCAAGAATTTGAAGAACGGTGAAAAGAATGAGTAAGGAATAGCTCATTAAGACAAAACTTTTGTTTTGAAGAGGTTTGAGCCAGCCACACATGAGCTGTGACAGACTGGTAAATAGACTACCACTGTGAGGTTTTCTCATCAGTCTGCAAACAGTCCAAGCCATAGTTTCCAGTTTCTTCTGCCCTCATAACTGGGTTGAAGCATGACTCCAGCTTTCTGTAAAAGGGTGAAAAGTATGGCTCAGTATGTCTCAGGGTTTTTTAAAGTATAGATAAACAAGAAACCCAGGTATTCAAGTTATTAAGTCTTGCTCATTTTCTATGAGCCATAACTTCTCGGGCTGCAGGTAAGATCACAGCTTGTATGTTAAGAGTCACATGGAGGAAGAGATTGGATAAAAGGGTTAAACAGACAAGTTGATACTGGATGCCTGAAAACCTACAAACTAAAACCAGCTGTTTAAAATGCTGTGCTAAAATATATAGCACACCTTAGACATATTTTGGAAGACATTAAAAAATAAACATGTAAAATACTATCTCTAAACTAATTTACAAAAACTTATGCTCCAAAGTCTGAGAGATTTGTGTCCCTCTGTATCTCTACTTGGGGTTATGAATCATGTTTCAGAAAAAAGATAACTAAAACATGAAAGGACTAAATTGGCAGGTTACTTCCGAACATCTGTTGTTGTTCCAGAGACATATCAGGGTCTGTTTGAAGGCAACCCCTGCCCAAAAAACCAAACCAACCAACCCAATCCTATCTGATTTTGGGTTACTGTTTGAGAAACTAGATATCTAGATTTTAAAAATTAAAGAAAAATTTCAAATTCAAAGGTGAAACCACTGACACATAGCTTTATTACACCATAGGTAGCCTGCATTTAACGAAGATCATACCCACTACTCTTCTTGACACAAAGTCAAAACCCTAATACCAGGAAAGTGGTTACCGCATCATTAAAATGTGAATACAGTAAAGAAAATCAATTGGTTGGAGCACAGGCTAGGTGTTCTAATATTCTATTAATAAAACACAGTTTTCAGTAAAATCACCACATAGCACACCCTCTTCCTGTTTTTAAAACCATAATTTTAAGCCAGAAATGTGTCTAAATTCTGATGTTTAAACATATAACCATTAACATATGAACATAAAGAGGCAGCTGAATTTCTGCTTAAAACCCAATTCGCTAACTTCTTTAAAAAAAAAGCATAAAATCTGAAAATTAATCAGGTTAGAGTTGATCAGATGAGGAAATGCTTTCTCTATTGTATCAGACACTCCTGTGTACATTGCCCTGAGCAGAGCACACAGCTGAGCCTGTCTTTCTAGCAGGTTCCACAGTTTGTGGTGTGATCTCAGTTTCAAGTGCTCCTTCAAGTACTACCCTTCAAGAAAAAAGTATTCTACCTCTGCTCAAGCCTTACCTCTTCTACTTGCTTCTTGTGTTTAGAAATGTTTGGTAGAAGGGTGATGAAAACTCTTTTTCTGGCAAAAGTAGCTGAACCCAGGTCTTGTTAGACTTCAAACTATCATTTCTTAGCTCTTCAGTGATAAACTTTGCACCCTTAAAATTTAAGTTATAATAGTCACCTGTAAGATGCCTTACCAACTGGCAGAGAGAAATTTTCTGCACTGAAGTTAAAATCTATTTTAAAGAAAGTTGCAGAATAGGATTGATATGTATCATCATATGCTGAAAATCAGGATTTGATTAACCAGATGCTGTTATTTTCTTTAATATCTCATGAATAGGAACTACAGTATAAAAACAATTCAAAACAATCATTTACTGGGAAATATGACATATGGCCAGCTAAGCTGCTTTCCTACAGAAATAGCTAAAGATCATTACTCTTGGCATCATTCCCTACAACAGTCACTGGGCTCATTAAAACAGACAGTATGTGACTGAGTCCATAAGGAGGATTATTTCTACAGGTGGGTAGAAACAATTACGAAAACTACAAAGACTTGTAGAAAGAAGTAGTCAAGGAGACTTCTCCACCTCCATAACTTCTGTACACAAAACAAATCCAAGCAGCACCGCTAAAAGTTGCTGAAAAAAAAAAAAAAAAAAGCATTTTTCTCCTTTTTCTTTACAGTATACATTTCCATCTTGCTAATGTATGATATTTCATTTTAATTGTTCTGCTGGAGGGTTTTTGCTTGAGTAGGAACATCCTGATGCAAACAGGAAGTTTGCATCCAGCAGTGGCCACTTGTTGCCTGTCTTTAGTCCCAATTCAATTAGGTGGAAACCAAATTTTAATGCTGTCACAGGATGAGTTCATGTTCTGCGATAGTGGATTGGAATAACCACAACCATGCTGTGAGGCAATAATGCTGCAATCCAGGCTTCCCCGGTGATGTTATACTAGCAAATGTAAACCAAACATCTGTGATGTGGCATCACAGGACAGGAAATGTTAAGACAATTATAATGTGGCAATGATAATCTGGTGTAGCAATAATACAATCACATTTAGTAAATGTTTACATTTGAAAGCAGCTACACTGTGATTACGTTCTTGCAACATGTCCCTTTACATGTCAGCACTGTTGCCTGGATTATCTAAATTTAGACAGTAACATGGTGCAGTAGATGGCTTCAGTCTATCCTATCACTGTCCTTTTTCACATGCTAAATAAAATTACTGCTGTGTACAGCATTGGCATCATACAGTCACGCTGAAAGATGACCAATCATTTATGATAGGGGAACTAATGGCAGCATCACACATGCTTCCGAAACACTCCCAAGGGCGCTGTAAGGCTGTTTTGCGCGGGCCCACAGCATACAGCGCGTGACGCAACACGAGCCGACTGCCATGCTGTTGCGTGGCAGGCACACACACGGCATGTGAGGCAGGCGCGAGGCCAGGATTCGCCGAAGCAGGTTACCAACCCGGGGAGCAACGTTGCAGGCCAGGGACGTAGCTGAGGCTGTGGGGGCCAAAAGGCAGGCGGCATCGCAGGGCAAGGATGGCGGCCAGCCCGCGCCCGGGGCGCAAGGGCACTGGCGCCGCGCCTTCGCCACTGAGGAAGAGGAGGCGAGGCCTGGGCACGGGCAGCCACCCCGCCGCCGAGGGCAGCGACGCCACGGCTGCTGTGCTGACCTGAACGCCTCAAGAAGTGACGTCACGGCCCAAGCCGATGTCACACGAATGACGCCGAGCCCCCGAGGCAGAGAAAAGCGCGAGAGGAGGCTGCTGACAACGCTCCACCCGCCGCCGAGGAAAACCACGGGCGAGCGCATCCGCCACCTCATCCGGGGCCCGCGCGGCGGTTAGCGGCCGCCACTGCGCACGCGCCCCTCCTGCCGCCGCGGGGCGGGATCAAAACTCCAAGCCGCCTTTCTGATTGGCTCCCACTCCAGAGGCGCCCGGGGATTAGCTGCCGTTCAGGAGGGCGGGCGTTGCCCGCTTGCTAGCCGACCATTGGGCAAGGCCGCCGGGGGGCCGCTCGCCCGTTGGCGGACGGGCGCGTCCGGTCTGGGGCCGGAGGAGGGTGCTATTGGCTGGAAAGTAGGTTAGTGGTGCGCCGTTGGGTGGCAAGCCAGGCGGAAAGTAGGTCAGGGACGGGGGCTGCCTGCGCCGGGCGCCGCTCCGGGCGTGCAGCGCCTTACCGGGGGACGGCGACCCCCGCCCGCCTGCGGCGAGGGGGCGCGCGGAGCTCGCGGTGAGCCGGTAACGGGCGGTGGGCGACCGTTGGCGGAGGGGGTGGGGGGGCGTTAACGGGAGGTGGGTTGGTGGGTGAGGGCGGTCCGCGCCCCCCGCTGAAGAGACGGCGCCCCCCGCCTCCCGCGGAGGGTGGGGGGAGGCCGGTGAGGGGCCGCCCCCGCGCCGGAGCTGCCTCCGCCGGCAGGCCGTGGGGAGCGAGCTGCCTGCCCCGGGAGGGGCTGGGGGGCTGCGGCTGCCCCGGCGGGAGCGGGCCGGACCGCGGGAGAGGGGGACCCGCTCAGTAACGGGCTGCGTCCCTTGGAGCCAGGGCTGGGGCGGGGGGGCGCCGCGAACGGAGCGGCCCCGGTTTGGGGTGTCTCGGCTGTGTGACAGCGCCCGGAGGTGACGGGGCGGACGCGAGTCGCGGCCGTTTGCAGTCGGCCCCGGGCCCGCTGCCGCCGCGGCGGCTCGTCCGGAGCCCGGGGGTAGAGCTGGGGCCGGGGGTCGCGCTGGCGGTGCGTCCTCGGCTCGGTGGAGCGGGGAGGAAAGCGGCAAAGCCGGGGGTCCGGGAGCTCAGGGGAGGCAATGCCAGGCTTGTGCCTCCTCCTGGATGCGAGTTACCCTCCTCGGGGGTATGGAGGCTGGGGCAAGTCACCGAGCAGAGATGTTGGTGCCCCTTCCTCTGCAACAGGAATGGGTCCTTTCGACCTCTGTCCCGTAGCTGATCCCTTGGATCTTTTTCAGTAAATCAGGTGCCTTGTGCTAAAGTTTGTCTTAGGTGAGGCCCGAGGAGTGTGTGTATTAAGCCCCAGAATGACGTTAATAGTTGAAATGTCTCTGGGTTGTGACTCGGTTGCACAGAGGCCAGTCCCACCTGTAAGCAGCCAGAGCCGGTGCCCCGGTCCCACAGCCGTGGGCTTCTTCGCTTCCGAACCGTGCAGCTCGGGTACCTGCGGAGGGTTTACGGTGAGCCCTGGGGTGCTGAGGCAGTCCTGCCGGTGCTGTCACTTCTTGGGCTGTTTCTGACAGCTGTGGGTAGATCTTGGCTGTCAACGGGAGAATGAACGTTTTTCTTCAACAGTCCATGTAGAACACGGGGGCTGTTAAGGTGGCTTCCCAAGATCAGGACTTTGTGCTTGGGGAGGCAAGGGAATCGGTTTGCATTCTTAGTTGCAGAGGTTTCTGTTACTTCAGTGTCTCAATTATAACAGTTGTGGAAAGATTTTTAGTACTTGAAAATAACGGTGAAGGAACAAGTGGGTGTGTTTTCTTGCTTTTGAAACAAATATGCTTACACGAATTTTTAAGTGTTTTCTTAGTATCCAAGGTAGCAAGGGTCAACTGCAGAGAGCGATCATCTGTTTAAACAATTTTGAATCTAATCTCTTTGCAAGATTCATTCAGTCTTTAAGTAGAATTATTTTTCAAAATGCTGGTTCATAAACATTCAAAATGAAAGTACATTTTCATTCTTTTTTTGAATAGGCTAGTATTACAGTACCTGTCCTGCCTGTTTAGTATATCCTTTCTTTTATCAAAAGACTTTTAAAATTGGAGTGACTGATAATACATAGGCTGCAACTAGATTTGTAGTAGAGGGAAAAAGAAAGGGTTTTGGTTTTAATTAACAATTAATACTGGCTGACTGTCTCTGTACATGGCCTTGTAGAAGGCTGAGGTTAAGCTCTGCCCTTGAAAGTATGTTTTGTATGTTCTAGGAATATGCAAATGTAAATAGCTATTTGAAGTGTCAGAAACTATAGACCTCTCATCTGAATATTCTAGACCACAGTTCTCTGTTAAGGGGAAAGCCTTTATTACCGAGTTCTGTGTATTTGTATTTCTTATGACCATTCATGGGGGTTTTTATGCCTACTTGTATAAATGGAGTGTGTAAAATAACCTAATAAAATACTGTGGTTATAGATTAATATGCTGTTTTATCCCATATTCTCTCCCACACTGCGCATTTCCATTGTCTGTCTGCATGACAGCTGTGGTGTATGGTGCTGTGTAGATTCAAGGTCTGTAAAAGAAGTATGTTGGAAGACTGCCTGGACAAGAAAGAAGTACCCCAGAGAACCTAAGGGTAGCTGTTTTGTTTTGTTCTTACCAACAGGGCCCTTTGAGGGGGACACAGGGGTGTCAGTAGTTGGTATTTCACAACACCAAAGCTGAAGTTAGGGCCTACTTCCATGTCACCGTTACCCCCTGCTACCAAGAGACCTGCTGTATTTGGGGACCATTGCTGACGATGCGCTCGGAAGGTGATGTTTGTAGCGGGAGTTTAATGGAGATTTTTTAATTTTTTTTTCATTCAAATACCTGCTCTGGAAGATTCTTTTGGGAAACCAGGAATACAAACAAGTGAATGTTCATTGGATTTGTTTGGCAGAGCTTAAAGTTACACACAGTTCATTATCACTATGCAAGACTATGATGTCAAAGCTGAGACCTAATGTGATGGCTGCAGCTTGTGTGCTGCAGATGAGTAAAACCATTTTTCAAAGTGAATTGATAGCGACCACACTGGAAATACCAATGGACATGTAAGATAATTAGTTTAGATGAATACAGAAGTGCTGTTTTATGCTGAAATTCAATATTTTAAGCTGTTTTCAACATAGAGCCAGTTGTCCGTGTGGTTATGCTTTGACAGGAGGTACAGGGAAACCTGAAGGAATAGCTTGTTGTTAAGTAAAACAAAGTGAATTTGGTACATCCCTTAATGACTTTCTTTTTTAGTTCTGTAACTTTTATGCTTTTCATTTCCAACCTTTAATATCAGTTTTGTCCATAGTTCTGTTTTTGAAAGAGAGTAGAAAAGTAGTAAAACATAGCTACTTATATCCCCAGGTATTAGAAAGTTCTCTCTACTTGTCTTCTATAAAAGATGTATAAAGGCATATAATACACAAATAACTGCAAAGAGAAGCCCAAAATAAGTACATGTACTTATAGCTTGTGTAGCTTCCTTGTTCTCAGTACATTTACAGAACACAAAGAATACTTAAGGTTTCTCTATTTACTTTAATACATTAAACATGGTTTGAAACTTTTATTTTTGGCTGTCATCATAGAAAACTTCAGACTAAAATAATTGATTTTGTAGTAGCTGAGATGATACTACTAACTGGAACTCAGCATCGACTTTTGCACTTAGTTATTGAAAGCTCTGCTTGGTCAGCCCATTAGAGTCTGTGTTTCTGGAGGTGCTTGAACATGCAAATACGTTATTTTATGGCATTTTCAAAAGTGGTGAAAAAGCTTTCAATCTGGGTCTTTCAGTCTTAAGAGTTGCTGTAGATAGGTTTTAAATAATAGATTAATAAAGGACTAAAGCAGAGGTATACTCTGCCTGTTGTATATGTGTGTATATATATATGCATATATATGTATATGTGATAGTCTTGCATTGCAGTAGTAAATATGTTCCAGGTTTAGTTAGATCAAATGCAAACTGATGACTTTCGTGTACTCCTGTGGTGTTACATAGGTGAAACTCAAGACCCTGAAACAGAGCAAAAAGTAATGTACTTTGAAAATGAGAATTTTTTTTTTAAGAGTTAGTATATTGAGTTATTTAGAAAGTCTATTTAAGTTTTGTGATTTTTTTTTTTTTTTTTTTTTTTTTTTTGTGGAAGAGATCCTAGTTGTAATTACCAAATTATTTCTATCTATATTTCATCACTTTGAATACTGTCAGATAACCTGTGGTGTATATTTAATTGAACTTTACATTGAAAGAAGTTGATATCAAGGTGAACAGCTCTCTGGCATGAACTGCATATTGCACCTGCTTTTTTTACCTCAATTTGTTGGAAAAATGCAGTAAGGCTACTTATCCAAGGCCCAGACTTCATCTCCTTGGAAACCTGATCTTTCACCAGATGTTGAAAAATGTAATTTCTTTTTTAATCCATTCTGCAGAAGAACACAGATCAAAACAGCATCTTTAGGCTTTGTTAGTCTGGAATATTCATTAACTAAAAAAATAGTCTGACATTTCAGTCTTTGTCCCAAAGAAGATTGATAGTTTCTGCTGCATTTGATATTGCTTCAAATTTATTTTAGCTGTTGCTAAAATTCTTGTAGTGGCTCTATAGTTTAATTAAATTCAAGAACTGGCTGATACTGTCTTTGTAATGTGTACAGTGCAGGACATTTATGTTCCCTGCCCATTCCTTGCCTGCAAGGATTTCTCTTTCTTTTCTATGTTCAGGTCATCTTTTCTCCTTTGCATCTGCAAAAAGATATTTCTTAGCCAGTGCACACAGAATTTGTAACCTTTTCAATCTCCTGCCATTTGAGAAGCTGTTAGAGACACTTCTAGGTCAGCTGCTGGTGTCAGAACAACTTGTGACCATGAGCCGAAGCCATGCTGTAGTTTAGTAGGTTGGTCTTCTGTAGGAATGGTGCCAGTAGGCTACTTATAGAGCAAGAAATACCATTGACAGGATTTTAAAATGGTGAAATAACCAGCCAAGTTTCTTGTGGTCTAAGGCGTTGACGTTCTCTACTAACTTTAAAGAAACCCATTCATATGAATATAGGCAGCTGAGGAAGATGGTTGTAGGTTTCATGTTTGTTTTGACAGTATTTTCCTTGCAAATGTTAGCAGGCTCTATTTTTCCACAGGTACAAGGCAACTCAGTGGCACCTTGTATAAAGGAAGCAGCAAACAGATTGCTAAATCCTTAACAGTCCTTACTTGGTGTGGCTGTGATGGAAATGCATCTTCCAGTGTGCAGTTGCTGTAATGCCGGTAAGGATATGTCTGGCAATTCCCAAGTGGTGTGTATTGGCATCATGTCTCTCAAATCACATTAACAGGATAGCATCTTATAGTAAGTTGTATATGCTTATTCAATTGCAGCCACTTGCCTTAACTCCTTTATGTGTCAACTAAAAATGTATTTTAAAGATTTGATGTGGTCTTGATACAATACTACTCAGACAATTGTAAAGTTAGTTTTACCTGTTTGGGATTGATGTAGGTTTTGAAGGGAGAATTAAATAAGACTATCAGAGCACTCAGAAATTAGTATTATTCCTGATCTGAAGGTCTTTCTGTCTTGGAAACTTCCTTAATGTGGCTTTTCCTTTTCTAGTTTGTCTAAGAAAAAAGGACAAGATCAGAAAGACTTTGGTAGGAATTGCTAAATAATGCTGTACTGCAGAATATTTATGGAGTGAAGTGAGAAGGAAAAGTTACTTCCTAGAAAAAACATGAGAAAATAAAACTAAAATACTTCAACTTTTTTTGAAGACTGTTTTTTCTGTCTTTAAAACTGTTAGTTTTATAGTTTCCTTGAACTGATTTGGTTGTGTTTTTTTCCTTGATTTGTTATGAATGGATTTCTCTTTGTTATCTATGGTTTTTCCTTGGAGCATTATGAAATTTAGGACTTCTGTTCCAATCTGAAGCAAAACTCTGTATTAAAAAGTAATAAAACTTATGTTCTTTATGTTGCATGTATGCACTGTAGTTGTGTTGAGAGTGACAGCAAAAGGGCTTTGATTTGAGTTCTGCTTTTATTTTCATCATTCAGTCAAGGATCTCTGATAATTGTGTTTTAAATACCCTTGAGATTTGGGCTTTATGTTGCAGTTTGGCTACCAGCATATTAGTTTTAGTTAACCTTTAAAAATACTATTTATTTTGCACATAGACTTGAATGGCCTAGTAATTTTTCAGGGATAAATTGTGGGGTCCAGAATACATTGCAAAGGAAAAATCTGATGTTATTCTTTGAGGTTTATGTTAGAATGTGTTTTCTGACCTTGTCTTGACCATGTTGGGTTTTCCAGTTTGCGGTTCTAAAATTGCTGACTAAGAAAAGGGATGCCTGTTTATTCCTCTGTCCTCTTTCCCAATGTGCTCTTTTGCCAAGCTATTTCATGTAATCTTTGCATTTGTGTTTACAAATTAGTTTTTAAAGTAAAGTTAGTTAATTAAAAAAGTCAGTATTGACACTGTATTGTCAAGATACTTAAGAATATTTTTGTGTTATACTCAGGATGAGGTCCAAATTCATAAATCCATATATTTACTTAACTTTGACCTTAGAAGGCTCTGGTATCTAGGTGGGTTTTTTTTTGTTTTGTTTTGTTTTTTTTCTTATTAATGATCTGATAAAGCCTCAGAACATTAGGCAAACTTACAGTCCTAGAGTAACATTATGCTGGTTTTAAGCTGTACCCAGTTTACTATGGCTCTGAGTTTTGAAAAGTCTTTATCACCTTAATTTTTAAAATCCAAGTGAAGTTTTATGACGTTAGACGCTGTCAAAAATTTACATTTACAGAACTTTTATTTCAGTTAACAGTTTTTACATAGAATTTAATTCCTAGTAATCTTATGTGAAGTTAGGATCTCTTAAATGATGTGTGTTACAGCCCTTCATTCTCACAGTGCCATTTTTAGTGAAAAATTATGTGTGAAATATGTTTGCACCCTAGAAGTTGTGCATTATCTTGGAAGTTTTTTATTACAGGTAGTGTTGTTTCCTCCCTAATTTTTAGAGTTTCTCGTATTTCTTTTATTTAAAAATATCCTTTTGCTACAATGACCAAACTAGCCTCTGAATATTACAGTTTATTTTAGAAACCTGTCAAGTCAGTTAAGTGATTTCTTAGAGGGACTTGTCACATAAAAACATTAGAGTTGCTGAAGTGCTCTCTAATAGTTAAAGAATAATCTGTTCAATATGTTCTCAAATGCTTACTATGCAGTTTGGGTCCAAATTCTAGAAGTTATTTGTATTTTACAAATACAAGGCAAGCAGTTGTGTATTCTTATTTTTAATAGGAAGAAAGAAATAAGAGCAATGAGTCTGTGCTAGTTTGGGGTTATGCTGGAATTTTTTGTTTCACCTCTCTTAGAAATTCTAGGGCTTTTATGTAAATAATTTTTTTCCATGTCTGAGACGTGCAGATGTGCAACTTGGTCAGCTTGTCTGGCGGGGGAACAATCTGAAGAAAGATGAGTATTTCCCTATTATAGCATTTAAAAATCTGGTTCAGTCTGTTTAAGATATCCCAGCTGGCAGTAGAGAGTTCTCAATTACTGTACTTGGCATTATTTCTTGAATGAAGTAATTCTTGTCCTAATTTATCTGATTTGACCATGAGACTCTTCTGTAGCAAATGCCTGCTTTATTTTTGAGTAGCTCTTCATTTGTCTTACTCTAATGCTTTTGTCATCAAGAGTAAGATGATGAGGGGCAGAAGGGGAACACTACAGTAGTAGACTGTTGTAGAAGCTGATGTTTCTACATTCCCATTCCTGGTAGACACGACCAACTAACCAGCTCAGAGCAAATTTTAACAATTGCATATGGCTGATGCCACTGTGCGAGTTTTCTGGCTGTGTCCTTTGTATATATGTTCCTCCCAAGAATTGTAGTATGAGTGATGAATTTTTGCAGACTTGATGAATTGATGAATTTTTTTCAGACCTGTGGGGGAAATACTACTGCTCAGGGAAGTACTACCAGGGCTATGCTCAGGTACATGGACAGCACAAAAAGGAAAAACCTGTGGCCAAAAAAAATTCTCCAGTTTTGGTGCCCAGCAGTTTGTCCTATAAGTGACATGTGAATCCTTTGCAACATCCATTGACAGTTGGATGAATTTGGACAGTAGTTTTGATGATAATTGGAACTGGATTGCTATGGACAGTGTAACCCCCGTCAACACTTCAACTCCTCCTTGGCTAACCATTTCCATCATGTATCCTGTCCCTCTTCTTCGTGGTGGCATATGTGTTTGGGTAGTGGTACTGAACTGGGGAATCTGCTGTGCCTCAAGGATTACTTTTTTCCTCTGGAGAATGATTTGAAATTACTCAACTCACCAATAACATACAACTTGTGGCTTCATAAACATTTTCGGTTTTGTAGGTTAGGAAACAGCACAGCTCATGAAATGAGTAGTCCTGAAGGAGAGGTGGGAGAGGCAGTAAGTGTGAAGAGTGCTGTTTTAAATATGTTACACTGCAACCCTGACATGGAAGAGGATTTATGGCAGAATATTTTTTGATGAAACTGTTGGGTCATTTCTTTCATAACTCTACATAAAAAATTGATAAAAATATCTGGTTTTGTTACTGATACCCAGAAGCCACAAAAATAAGCAGCTCTTTCATCTGTGGAGCTATGCAGTGGAGCTTTTTGTTATTTGTTGTGCTATTTTTAAAAAAATTTTTCTTATAACAAGAAAGAGTAACTCAGCTAGACCTCTGACTCTTTTCCCTTTTCCCTTACTGGCCCATGTGCTTCTGGGTTTTCAGATGAACAAATATTTGAGTATCTGAAACACTTCTATCTCTCAGGAGCTCATTCACCACGATCACCTGACTCTACCGGAGCTGAACACTTGCACATCCAAGTTATTGTCAAACTGATAATTTATCTAAAAATGGCAGAGAGCCAGCAATGTCTTCAGTTAGGCTTGCCAGGAAATCTGGAGGAAATGGAATATGTGAAGGAGACTGAAAGGAAGATGATTTTATTTCCACCAAGACAATACATGGGACTTCAGTCAACTAGTTGCAGAAACCTCAGCTCCCTTTTGTGAACAGGAGCTCTCTCTTTTTAAAAAAATAATCTTGAATTGCTGTTTAAGAATGATTCTCTAACTTGGCATAGATCTCATCTTGCTGTCAGTTTGTCTACATATTCTGGAAGCAAAACTCTAAAACCTACTCGGGCTTCCCTTTAGAGAAATATTGGCACCTCAGTTTGTTCTTTATGTTCTTATCAAATAGCTGTTCAGGAGAATTGTCCTTGTGTTCAGTGATATGAAAATCTCTTTTCTGTATGGCTGTGATGTACTTTTTAAAAAAAGATTTAATAAAACTTTTGAACTTAATTTGGAATATAAATGGAAAGTAAGTAAGAAAAGGTTTAAGTTGGCAGATAATGGGAGAATCCATGCCTTCTACTTAAAATGAATTTTTTTTTTTTTTTCCCTAGAGCATATGAACACTGGTGAGGACCAAATAGTTGCACATCTCAAAGAGGACAAAAAAAAAAAAAATCCCGTGTAACAAAAATCAAAGAAAAAGTGCCTATTGGTATCTCATTAGAGACCTAGATAGTGTTGTAGCATATCTACTGTCTTTTGTCTCTAGGTGAACTGATCATTATTAAACCTTGTATGACTTTTGAGGTTCTTTTAAGTGCTTAAGTTAGTCTAGGAGAGTTCCGGGTGCTATTAAGGCAAAATTAATGTGCCTTTTAGAACAGGATTTGCTCAGGCAAGTAGTTAAGCCTCCATGGATTTATTCATGGTGTGCTGTAAATCTTGCGTAAGTTACTTCCTTTGACATGGCTTTCAGATGTATACTTCTTATTTTTTAAAACAAATATTTTGTTAGTCATCTGATTTGTTCTTTTGCGGTATTTCCATGGCTTGTTAGTTCCCTCTATCCCTAAATGTACTGGAATGATGATGTCCCTTGATAAACCCAGAAAAGTACTGGTTTCTGTTATTTGTCAGTTAAACCTAATTTTCCATTGTTCTACTGAATTTTGTTTGGTGACTTTGGAAAACCTGGTATCTGGTCTCTTAACTTGTCTCTGACTTCATTTACACACACACACACACACACACACACACACACACAAATATTTCTCCCTTAAAATTGGCTGTGTGTGGCTTTTTGTTATCCATTTGTCTCAGTCCTGTGCTTCGTGGGTTTGTTTCTTTGGGTATGTGTGTGTGTGTGGTGTTTTGGAACAATGCTGTGTTGCTAACTGC